GTTGGAGACGCAAGATATCACCTTCGCTTTGACGACTACGATACAGCTATTTCTTTGCGGCTACATTCTCTTAAAAACAGAACACCCAAGATTATTTATACTCGAAACAACGAAAGCCCACGTACTTAAAGCAAAAAGCGACATACCTGTCGACAACTTCGACATCTTTACTTACGTCAACTCTAAATTCGTCTACGTGGAGAAACATGTCAGGACTCAGATGATCTCCCTCTACCATAACGTCATCCAACACCGATGCAGACTAGAAAAAGAGATAATTACCAACACGTTATCATTGGCAACGCTGTTGCCGGACGAATTCGCTTACCGACTAATGAAAGGACCCGGATAGCAGTCACCGCTGAAGAAGCCATTCACATCATCAAGTGCATCCCAGTGGAGACCATTGTGCGCAGAACTAGAGAATGTTACACAGAATTACCAATAACAGTACGAAATTCATCATTATTCCTCAAGCCCAAATCAAGAATACTTATTGAGTATAAAACACAAAAGGAATGCAGCAGAGAATTATCAACNAGACACTTGGGTAGAATTCTCACCCGAGGTACATGTTCGTCACCTTCAACCACAGACGCTCAAACCACTAACAACAATCACCTGGAGGTACTTAACACCCGGATCACTAGCCTCCAGCGGAATATATTCAAAACAAAACATCGAAAAGCTGCGAGACCACGTCATGTTCCCTGCCGAGAAGACCGCCTTACTAAATTCACTGGCCAGAGGAATCACCGGATATAAGACAGGAGGAAACATCGCCTCCATGTACGACCTATTGGACGAAAAATCTCTTAATAAAATTGCTGAAAACACCGCAAAGAAAGTATGGTCCGGATTCGTCACCTTCGGCTCAGCAACCGCAGAAGTTCTCGGAATATTCATCGTCATCCGCATAATCAAGCTGTTAGTAGACACCGCCATCCATGGATACGCGTGCTCTCGTTGCTGTTTTGTGTATATCCTCCAACACAACGTGTCAACAAATTTTTGTTGCTCAGCTCTTCGTATATAGGTGTGATGGTCTTCAGCACGTCGCTAGAGAAAGCCGGTTTTTTCGCGGAAGAACTTGTCGATTCCGTTTCATTCTTCATCGTATGGCGATTTGGTGACGGCGGTCTTTTCCTACGTCG